GTGACTAGGTACTTTGATTTTAATGCCTAGTTCATTAGTGACTATTACAGCTGCGCTGTATATTAACTGATTCATTTCCAAGATGGATCCCGATTCAATTGTTGAAAACACTGCATTAACCATTTTCATGATAGGGGCCAAAATTTTCTTAGGCACAGTTTTTAGTGATGGTAAACGTTGCCTTTCCTCATTAAGCAGAAAATGCAATCACACTTGGCCAATAAAGAATTCTAATATCCCTTGCCTGTTACTACTTCAATATTAGCCAAGCCATTTGTATGTGTGTGAGTGTGTGTATGTGTGTATGCACACAGACACACACTAACGCACACACACCTCAAAACTATTACAGTGTAAAGCAATTCGTCAACTAAGAGAATACCGGTATGTTATTTAAGTAGATAAATATTTATGCAAATCTTCTATGAAAAACAGCATCATACCATATTTGTGGGGTTTTTTTTCTTAAAGGTAAAGGTTCCCCTTGCACGTATGTGCTAGTCGTTCTCAAATCTAGGAGGCGGTGCTCATCTCCATTTGAAAGCCAAAGAGTCAGTGCTATCCGAAGACATCTCCGTGGTGATATGGCTGGCATGACTAAATGTCGAAGGCGCACGGAACACTGTTACCTTCCCATCAAAAGTGGTTCCGATTTTTCTACTTGAATTTTTACATGCTTTCGAACTGCTAGGTTGGCAGACGCTGGGACAAGTAACAGGAGCTCACTCCATTATGCGGCGCTACAGATTCAAACTGCTGAACTGCCAACCTTTCTAATTGACAAGCTCAGTGTCTTAGCCACTGAGCCACTGTGCCCCTTTTTTTCCTTACGGATAGATAATTGGAGGTGACATTTGTGTATGCAATTTGCAACTATACCAACAATCAACAGTGGTTGCGAAACTTTGGATTCATAAATTTGTTTTGGAATATACTTTCCCAGTTACTGATCAGTTAATGTACATCTGCAATGAAGTATTACAAAATTATAACAACTAATTAATTACGATTGTTGTGTCCCTTACCCGTTCGAGCAAGTATTGGTTTTGCATAATCAGGATGCGTGATGTTCAAACATGCAATGAACCTGCCAAACCACAGAGGAAAGGCAAATGGATACAGACAACTGAATTTCTCTACTTTTCTGTAAACTGCAGAAATAGGTGAAAGCTGCATTGGTGCAAGAGAAAGAAAAAAACAAGAAACAATTATATTTGGTAAAATATTGTAATGAGCTATTTGGTGTTTTAAACTTATTTTTTCAGGCCAAAGGCTTCACTTGGCCTTTAAGTAGCATATCAGGAGCCCCTCCCCTAAAAGCAGGTGTAGGAGCCAGGACAAAAAATGTTTGAAGCCGAATAAAAGAAAATATTATTTACATTTAATTTAATTAATGAAACATGAAATGAACAAAATACAGTTGTTGTTATTGTACTCTATGTTACATAATTTCTCTTTCGATCACATTAAACATTAGCATTCAGTTGCAACTTCTGGAAGAGATAGACCTCAACTGAGCCTTTTAGGATCTCCTGCATCTTGGAAACTTAGTTTCTGCTCTTGTAGGCCACTATGTCGGATATTACTATACATCAATCCAGCGTAATACAGGATCTGAAACAAAGCTGAAAATATCTGGAGCTCTGTGCAATTGGCTGAACAAATATAGAAACTGGGTCTGCAAATCAGATTAGCCCAAAATCAAAGTAAATAACGTTACGGTTCAAAGCAATGTGCAGCCAGAGAGGAGGTACTCAACCTTTTTCTCCTGATCAAAATATGAAGAAAGTTACAGATATAGTGATAGCAATTTCTCATGCCTGCACTTCAGGTTTTGCTGGCCACAAATGGAATACAAGGGAATATAGGCAACCCATTTTAATTTTTTTATTTGGAAACTAAGAGGCCAGAAATACTAGGAGCAGAAAAACAGGTTTTATTGTCATCCACCCTGTAATGGGAAGCTGGGCTGTACTACTTACTTTCTATGAATAGTTGTAGGGAGGTTTGAAAAGAAATGACAATAGACATAAACAAGTATAAATGCATTTAGCCCAAGTGTACAGAAATATGGCAGAAGTCTTTAAAGATCATTCAAAGAGATTCTGCCTTAATGAACTCCCTATAAATGAGGCTGAAGAATTTCTGTTATATTTTCCAAGATTTCATATTTACCCCATTAAAATATCTTAGTGAAATCTGGGTTGCTGTTCTTGCTTCCCCGATTCTGCCAAAGTTGACACATTTGGCATAAGGAGGTTTGCTTCATTTTGGCTTTTTGCACTGGATGAATAATTCTCTTATGAATAATAATTTAAGGTTTTGATTATTATACATCATGAAGCTGGTATCAACTCTTAGGGACCACACAAATGAATTTTCTCCATTTCTTGATTGCAAAGTAAGTGCAGAAAAGCATGGCACGACAAAACCGCGGTCCACTAAAGCACGCCCGATTAAAGCGCGTCGCTGACGTCATCGGCAGCGCGACAACAACGACGGCGGAGAAGAAAGGGCGCTTTAGAGGGCGCTTTTAAAGCAAGCCGATTCACGTAAAGGTAAGGGTTAGGGTTAGGGTTAGGTTTGGGGGGCTTAGGTTTAGATTTACGCGTTAATTTTAACTTTACCGCTCACAGCGTGCTGTTTTCGTCGCGCTGTAATGACATCACGTACACGCTTTCGT